AAAAAAAAAAAAAAAAAAAATGGAGACATTGATGCCACCCACAGGAGGTTGACATAAATAATGTGCAATGTGGGGGATAATTTGGGGGGTAATTTAGGGGGCAATTTGGGGTGTAATTTGGGGGGTAATTTGAGGTTCAATGCACCAGTGTTAAGGCATTCGGTTCGCTGGTGGCTCACACACTTTACGTGGATCCCATCAGGCTGGTGTAGGATCCACGCCCCCGGGATTCGAAGTCATGATATGTTTATCAATCAACATTAACATGTGTGCATCTACCTTGCTGGGAATGGCAACCATTCACTGCCACATGGCAGTGACACGTGGCAGCGACAGCATCGCTATTTCGCTGCAAGATGAACATTGAGGCAACACAGCAGATCCATCGAAAAATTCTTTCAAATCGAGTGATCAGAACAATGACCATAACAAATAACAGTATTATTTCTTCTCCTATTTCTCCTTCTCCACTCCGTTTTCTCTCTTCTACGAGCAGTAGACGCATGTGCCCTGCCATTGTGTTGTTAACCCTCTGAGCGGCAAGGTCACAGGGGTTCGAAGACCCAGGAAAATAAAGTCATGTTTTTTTTTCTCTTTCTCGTGGAGATTGTGCACATTCGATTTTCTTGTTTCTTTTTTTCCTTTCTAATTAAAAAGAAGATTTCGCATTTCAAAATCACACTCGATGCCTAAAGCAAACGGCAACAGTCCAATAAGGACTATACTCACACCAGCACTATATAAAACGTATCTCACCGCATTTACGGTCGGACCTGGATGAATCTGACCGCAATTACAACCAGAATTAAGTCCTAGTGTGAGTATGCCCTAAAGATAGAAAAGAGACAGCCAGATCACCACGCCGTGCTAGGGCAACAGAAACCCGTGTCGTCCCAGACACACGCCTTCCATCTCTTCTGCCATCCCCACCCAAACCCTATTTCGTGTCCAACGCACCAAATCACGTGCGGCTACCATTTCTTTTTTTTTTTTCCCTGCGCACACAGCTTTTTTTTTTTTTTTTTTACGCGTTCAGCTCATATTAACGACTACCATTTCAAGCTCGTCACTCCGAAAAAAAAACAACAACCCAGCATCCATCCTTACAGTATGGCCAGATCACTCAGCAGAAAGACCACTGGCAAACCCTGGACAAACGACTTTTAAACCCTCGTAATCATGACTGTATCGGACGGGATAGCTAGCTTGTATACAGACGACCGGGGCGACTTTTGGTCGGAGAAAAACGATTCTCGCTCAGCGGTTCCTCTGGCAATAAGAAGAGGACGACTACTACCTCATACCGCCGAACATAACGCCCCATCATCCCGACTTAGCTCAGACCGGAATAGGGTTTATAAACACTGTGGCTGATCAGCAGTTGTGTTCCCGCGAATAACCAATAAACTCGTTAATCGCGCTTTACTCGCTCATTTAAGCAGCAGTCTCCACATACCTACCACTACCGCCAAACGCAGAGGACCATAACATTCCCAACAAGCAACTGCACCGACACAGGAGAGAGATTCAAACAGATTTTCTCTCGCAGTTCTCGCGATCGACGCGGCATAACCGTTCGAAAAAACAGTATTGTCATCATTTCAATGAATCCAGGATAGGGGCTACGATGCCACACCACCCACTCGGAACAAAAAATATTTTCCTCCCATCTCTTTTAACTCTCTATCTCTCCCTCGATCTCATTCTCAATCTCTACCTCTACCTAACCACTTACCAATACTATTTTCAGGTTAGGCGGTCATTACCTCATACTTAGGCGCTGCACCAAAAAATCACCGCAGATTGACGTTTTCTCTGGCGAGGAACGACAAACGACGACGATGCGAAGGCAACAGCTGCATGGCACAAAGAAACCAACCGCCCAAGTTTACACAGACCAGCGGCAGCCAGGAATAAAGATCGACTGCGAAATAAGCACTTAACACCAACCAACCATTCCACGACCTTTCTGTTTTTCAATTATTTTCTAATTTAATTCATTTTGTGACCACCCCACGACACTGCGTGCAGATGATCTCCAATGAGCAATGACTCTCAACAGATTCACACTGCTCCAGAGGGGAGAGGAAAAAACAACAAAACATTGAGCTCTCGCCTTTCAACGGGCGTTAATAAACCGTCAAAAGAATTTCGATTCGTAAATCAGATCGACATCAAAAATTGCGGACATTTTCTTTCCCAGCCCCTCAACATATACCGAGAAAAACAACATCTACCAGCGACAAGAAAGCAAGAGAAGTGGAGGAAAAAGACCTGCCTTGACCTGGGAGGCTAAGGGAAATCTATCAGCGACCCCAAGATGATAGAAGTTGGAAAAAAAAAAAAAAAAAAAAAAAAAAAAGGGCATGGCCCCATCTAGGAGGGTAAGGGCATATTGTGACTGTATCGGACCCTGCTAATGACGACATTCCGTAGATAAAGAACTACGGTAGTGCGAGTACAATTAACTCTTGTTCCGTCTGGTACAACGAGAACGAGACTGAAGAGTGGACAAGATTGCAGATATAAATAGATCGAGACTAATAAGTCGATCATGATGATTGGAAGACTCTGACCTACACAAGACCACAACTCCGCACACATCCGAAAAAATGGAAACTAACTAAAATTAATATCTATGTTTCTTCTTTCTCACTTTCTGTCTTGCTCTCTTTCCCTCACACCTAGACGATCGCTTAGTTGATCGCGGACAAAACACCCTGCTCCAACAGCAGCGTGAAGTTCGACTCGTTGGCTGCCGGGCCCTCGAATTGGATGGGACCGGGGTTTCTGAACCGGTCGTTGATGGCCCAGTCGTCGCGCACAGCGGCGAAAGCAGTGAAGGGCGCGCCATCGAGCTCGACGAGAGCCTTTCTGATGACGGGCTTGTTCTTCCCCTTCCTCCTCTCCACTTGCATGAGGCTCGTGAGCGGCGTGCCTCCTGCGGTCCACTCCTTCGTCGGCGCCGTCAAGTTGTTCACGGAGGCCATGTAACCCGTCAATCCAGATTGAAGAAGGGCTCCCGCCGTGTACCCCAGAGCGTACGTGTAGTTGGCATCGAAGTTGGAAGGCAGTCCGCACCGGCCTTCGTACCCGAAGAAGTGGTTCTGGCAATTGAAGCTGCCTTTGAACGTGCCCTCGGCTTTCTTCACCTTGAGGTCGGCCGCGACCATCTCCATCAGCATCTTCTCCATCTCAATCTTCGACACCTGGACATTGCCGTGAGGGTCCCGCTCGAGCAGCAACTGCTCTTGGATCGTGGGCGGAAGGATGTCGAACACGCTCCTCGACGCCGCCGTCAGGTCCTTCTTCCACTCTCCCTCCTTGTCGACGGTGGTCTTCGCGAGAATGTCATTCAACTCGGCGATCAGGACGCTGATCTCCGGAACGAAGTCGATCAGGCCCTCGGGAATCAGCACCACTCCGTAGTTTCTCCCCGCCGCCGCTCTCTTGACCACCACGTCCAGCACGTAGTCCTTCACTTCTTTCAGGGTCATCTTCTTCGCAGCAACCTCTTCTCCCACGAGAGTGATGTTAGGATGGGTTTGGAGAGCGCATTCCAGAGTCACATGGGACGCGGCGCGGCCCATGAGTCTGACAAAGTGATAGTACTTGGCCGCCGACTTCGAGTCGATCATGACGTTGCCAATCAACTCCGAGAAGATCTTGCACGCAGTGTCGAAACCGAAACTCACGGGCACCTCCTTCGACTTCAGATCGCCGTCGATGGTCTTCGGGCACCCGATCACCCTCGTCTTCAGCCCCTCGTTCTTGAAGTACTCCGCCAGCACACAGGCATTCGTGTTGGAGTCGTCACCGCCGATGACCACCAGACCGTCCAGATCCAGGCTCTCCACCGTCGACTTGGCCATCTTCATCTGCTCGTCGCTCTCGATCTTGTCACGCCCGCTGCGGATGATGTCGAACCCGCCCTGGTTGCGATAAGGGTAGAGGAAATCGGCAGTAATAACCGCATACTTGCCCTTCATGATGCCACCGGGACCGCCCAAGAAGCCGTACAACGTGCTGCCGGGCACGTTCTTCTCAAGGTAGTCGAAGATTCCAGCGATCACGTTGTGACCGCCGGCCGCCTGGCCTCCAGACAGAACAACACCCACCTTCAACGGCGCCGAGCTCAAGGTGCTCGACTCCGACGGCTCCACGATGGCAGTCGGCTGCCCGTACATGCTCTTGAACAGAGCGGCGATGTCCTCAGAGTTCGCAGCGCTGGTCGTGGGACCGCCATAGCTGATCTTGAACGATCGCTCCAAAACTGCAGGCAACACAGTCTCGTACTGAAGACGAGCCTTCTGAAGCGTGCTGTAGTTGCTCAAGATGTCATTGGCGGGAGCCATGGTCGGCTGGCTGCTCAAGAGATGTGGCAAAAGTAGTAGTGCAGACGAACAAGCGCGCGACTTTCTGGGATATGGCGGAGCACGCAGGACGGCCTTCGAAAACCAGCGAACACCGCGCGCCACGCACCCTTCCCTACTAACCCGCACCTCTCGTATCGTAAGGCTGACTGACCTCGATGGTGTTCGCAAGTCTCCAAGCCGGGTTATAACCTCGTGTGCACTGCTGCTGCGCTGATTAGCCAAGGCCACGACGGCAAACCGGGGACTTTGCCGTCCCGCTCCCGTGCACCTGCTGACTCGGCATTGGCCGCGCGAATGTCCAACTAACCACAGTACATACGGCGGGGCCAACAATGTTTTATTGTTTTTTCAATTATTGTTTTATTATTTTTTAGGGGCCAACAACTTGGCCTTGGCAGGGGCGGACGAAACGTCGTTTGGCAGCGATAGGCGGGCGCGGAGATCCGCTCACATCCGCGGACGTGCTGGGATTCAGTTTGGTAATCTGGCGGGGCCACGGCGTCTGAGATTTTGGCCCTGCTGCGCCACTCACCGAATGTGCAAAATGAGAATGAATCTTCCTCTAGAATGGGAACATACCCCTCCGTATCTTGTGTCCTTTTCACATTTGGCGAGGGCATTTTTCTACCCCTTCCAGTTTGGGCGGGGTGATTTTCAACCCTTCTGTTCACTGATGGCCTCAGGTGGAGGCTTGCTTGCTTGCGGCTGAGGACCTGAGGACGTGAGAATAGCCTTTCGGATTGGCCAACCATGGGGGGGGAGGCCGCGGGGCACGCAGTCCTAAGAGCTTTAGCTTTTCTTTTTGTCCACGACCCAATCAAACTGGTGGAGGTGATAAGAGCATCCCCCACGAGTTGTGCCCATGCCCCACTTGAGGAGGTTTAGTTCTGGTTTTGGAGTATTCACGGGTCCCTGCCGTCAGATCTGAAAATCTTATGGCCACAAGGTGACCACATTGAAAAGATACTCAAAACATGCCCCTGCTAGTGGGGCATGGCCCCCGCTTTAATTTGGTGGGGAGCTGCTCGTGCTGGAAATAGGGTCCAGATTCCATTTCCTGAATTTCATGAAGCCGATGGTCTAGACTTTTCCTCCCCATGCAAACCTCCTACCCCATCCCCAAATTGTGACTTTGATATCCCGCTGCCTAGGCTGCCTGGGACTCGTCGAGATAAAATGGAAAAAACAGAAGTCCTTGATGATGGCCGATTGCTCAGAAGTGAGTCATAGAGTTGGGGCCGCAGGCCCACACACCGCGGGAAAATCGAGGGTGGGCGGGACCGCTTCGCCAAGATCTTGGCGAGAAAAACAACTCGGCCTCTGAGCAGACTTGGTGGCTGTGCTGTGACCGCAGGTTTGCCTATGCGATGGGCGCAGCTGCCGGCGGATGAAATCCCGAAGCCGCTCCGCGTGAGTCAAGTCAGCCTGCAGCGACCGGTCCTKTGCCGGTTACTTATACACTCGCAGCTCCTGGATCAAGTGGCGGTCGGTCCTCCGAAGGGCTTCTTCCGGCAGGGTGAGTTCCACTAAGTCCCTTCGTGGATCTTGGCTCACTCGCTCGCATCCGTAGATCTTGAAAATAAGGAATTAATCCTAGAAAAGGACAGTGAATTCTTTAGAAAGACAGCGCCCTCCGTTGAAACTGAAGATCGTTGACGAGAAGGCCACCAAGAGACAGTTATGAATTAAAGAAATTGGTCCTTAGAAACAGTGTCCGCCGTTGATACTGAAGATCGTCGATGATAAGACCTCAGGAGACAGTTGCGAAAAAATAACTGAATTGATAGTATCTTGTCAATGCTGAAGTGATGGTTGCATCTGGCCCCGTCGAGTAGGTACCAACTACAAGGGCTCGAGTAAGACAGTTTTGTGATAGGGGAACGATCTACCCCTATCTAGCCTTCAGGTGCTGAAGTGATAGTAGACAATAGTGCAACGATCACGGACTTGAGCTTCGATGACAATCTTCAAAAAATGCGAATTTGGAAAACAAGAAATTTCGTGATAGGGGAACGATCTACCCCTAGTAGCCAGCCTTCTGGTGCTGAGGAAATCACAGACGCTACCCGTATCCAAGACCCAGGATGCTCCACAGCTAAGAATGGTCCTACCCAATAGGATCAGACTAGCAAGTTGGAACATCCGGGGCCTTGGAGATCATAATGATACACACAAAAGGAGTAGACTTTCACGCTTGACTCATTCCAAAAATATACACATCCTTGCTCTGCAGGAAACCAAAATTGGGTTTGAAAAGATGCAAGAGATTCAAAGTTGGTGGCCTGACCCGCAATACTGGGCTCCTGCGGATGGCACGAAAGGCGGTGTGGCAGTTCTGTTGGACAAGAGCTTAGAGGTCGATGTGATAGATAACTGTTCAGACCCAGAAGGCCGCTGGGTATGGGTTAAATTAGCTGTGGATGAAGAGGACTGGGCGGTGATGTCCATATACACCCCGGTAAGCTATGCCGAAAGGATAGATTTTTTTGCTAACTTACCTAAATATGTACCAGACACAGAAAACTTGTTGCTGCTTGGAGATTGGAACTGTGTCCTGAACCCAGGTTTAGATTCCCCCAATCCCACTCCCATAAGGACTGATGCCCTATTACTCCATTGTTTAATGGAAGCTCAAGGCTTGGTTGACGCCTTCAAAACTATAAACCCTCATTTAAATGGATACACGTGGCGAGGTCCACGTCCTTCCAGAAATACTCCTCAGCCTAAAAAACGGCTTGATCTTATTCTGGTCAGAGGGGCCCCGTGGGATCGAGCAATAGGTACGGAAGTGAAATCTTTATCTCTATCTGACCACTATCCGGTTGTAATAGAAGTCATATCTAAAGATATAGTAACAAAATCTCGTCCTCCCTTTAAATTAAATGTTAACATTCTGAAAGACCCAGAGATTTCTCAATGGGTGAGGTCTCAAATGAAGGATTGGAAAAAAACTAAAGACTTATTCCCAAGCCTTGCAGACTGGGTGGAAGTGGGCATAGGCATACTTCGAGAGACAATGATTGAGTTTGCCAGAATGAAAACGGATTCTAGAAACTGGAAGGAAAAACAGCTAATGAGTATTGTTGAAGAAGCGGATGCCCGCTCAGACTCAGACCCGTTTTTAGAATATTATTGGTACCAAAGAAGGGTGACAGCCTTAAGGGAACTGGAACAACTAGAAATCCAAAAACAGAAAGACTGGAAGGAGTGGCTAAAAATTAAAGGTATTATGGGGCATGATAAGATGTCTAAGGAGACATTTAGGATGCTCATATTACGAAAGGCCAAACCTGTCATGAGGGAATTAATACACCCCTTTGCAATCCAAACACCCATTGCTAAGGATACGGAAGAACTTTGTGCCTATGCTATGGAGTACTTTCAGGACATTGTTGCTACTAGGCGCCCCTTTGATAACTTTGATTTGAACCTGAAGGAATCCTCTCCATTTTGGAATTGTTCTACGACTAGAATCTCATCACAACAGCGTCTGGAATTAGATAGTCCTATTACAGTAGAAGAAGTCACTAGAGCAGCCAGACGAATGGCCAAGGGCAAATGCCAGGCCCAGATGGCCTTCCAATTGAATTTTTTTTATCTGCATGGAATGTGTTTGGTAATTTGTTTTGTAACATTTTTAATGAGACTTTGGAATTTGGCTCCTTGCCGAAAGGCCTGGTAACAGGAATGATATTTCTACTCTACAAAAAAGAAGATAAAAAGGAAATAAAAAATTGATGACCCATATCGGTCCTGAACGTATCTTATAAATTGTTGGCAAAAGTGTTAGCCCTTAGATTAGCCCCTATCCTTTCGTCTGTGGTAGGAAAGGAGCACGGGGCATTCGTTAAAGGGCGATCAATATTTGACAACATTATGGCTACGGTTCAGGCATTAGAAATAATTGGTAAAGAGAAAAGGGAAGTGGCAATCTTAATGTTGGATATGGAAAAGGCATATGACAAAGTGGGTTGGGCCTTTGTCAACAGTTCCCTTTTGAATATGGGGTTTGGCCAAGCTTTTCGTTGCTGGGTTAAGGCAATGTATGCGGACGCAAAGGCGACAGTCCTAGTAAATGGGAAGCAGTCGGAAGAGTTTGGCCTCTCTCGGTCCCTGAAACAGGGATGTCCCCTTGCGCCGCTAATATTTGTCCTCCAGTTAGAGGTCCTCCTAGCAAACATAAGGTCAAATTATTTAATAACGGGCCTCTGCATTTCACCCTCCCTGCATTGGAAGGGAGGTGTTTTAGCAGATGACCTGACCATTGTTTGTGAGAACATAGAAAGGGCCCTGAACGAATTACATAAAGTTATGGATGAGTACTGTGTATTATCTGAAGATTCCATAAATTGGAATACGTCTGCATTCTTCTTACCTTCCCCCTATGAGTTGTGTGTGGACTGGGGATTGAAACGGGTTCCCACCAATTTTTTAGACCGGTTCTTGGGAGTGCATATCTCATTAGCAAACTACTGTCAAATTCAAGATGCCCTCTTGGTCGACAAGGTGGTATCAATAGCAAGTTGGGAGAGACGTTCCTACCTTTCTCTCTTTGGTAGAGCTCTGGTGGTATCTGCAACAGCCTTCTCAATCCTTTGGTTTCCCCTGACGATCCATCGGTTAGGCAAGTCGGCCTATTAGACGATCAAGGCGGCAGCTGCGCGCTATGTATGGAAGCCTGACGCGGTGGAGGACCAACGGTATATATCCAAGGTGGCATGGGAAGTAGTGGCTACCCCAAGGAAGAAAGGAGGATTAGGGATCCTTGATCCGGAACAACAAAATGTCGCCCTACTTGCGAAATGGCCAATACAGGCAATGGGAAATGGAGAAGGAAAGGAGTGGAAGGATTGAGCAAAATATTTATTGGGAATAGAATGGGACTTGGAGGACCCCTCGAAGGTATGGCTGTGCATGTTGATTAAGTCCTTTGGAACAAGGAAGGTGAAATCCAATGTATGGAGTGGTATCCTGAGCGCATGGTCGAAAATCTTCCCGGACAAGATTTTCCACCTTCAACAAAGCATGAGATTTTGAATCAGATACTTTTCGAGAACCCGGGGATAACAAAGGCAGATGGCTCAACATTCTCAGCTTCGGGGAACGGGGGAAGTTTCGGCAAGGCGTGGGCGAAGAAGGGAGTCTTG